TAGCAAAAAGATGGAAACAACTTAAGTGCCGATCAATGGGTGAATTTTTAAGTAAAATGTGGTACATACATTCAATGGAATGCTACTCAGTGATAAAGAAAAATAAGTTCTCAGAACCTCTTAGAACATGGATGAACCTGGAGGACATTATGTTGAGCAAAATAAGTCAGTTACACACACACACAAAAAAAATATTGTGTGTTCTTTTATGAAATGACATGAACAAGCAAAAATATAGAAACTAATGTTCATTAGCGGTTTCCAGAGAGGGGAAAGGGAATTCAGTCTCTCGATAGAAGACACTTGTTATTTTTGGTGATGGGAAAGGTAACACCAGATGAGGGTGAAGTGTACATAGCTTGACAGAGGTAAATGGTGTCACTAAGAAGTACACAAGAAAAAAGGACCCGTTGGTAATTGCTCTGGCATATATAATTTTGAAACAACAGCGGAAACAACCAAAAAATTTCTGTATGGGTATATATGTATATATGTAGGCATATATGTGTATAGGTATGTATACGTATGTATATATAAGTATGCATATGCATCTATGTGACTGTATGCACATATATTCATATATATAATAAATCACATAGGTGACAGAGTTACAGCTACTTCTTAGACATAACCAAACACCTCTTGTGATTGGATTTCTGGGTTTGAAGAACTAGGACCGTAGTCTCATGGGACATCTTGGTCAGTTGACATAATATAGTTCATAAAGTTATGTTCTACATTCTAGTTTGGTAAGTAGTGTCTGGGGTCTTAAAAGCTTGTGAGTGGCCATCTAAAATAAACAATTGGTCTCTACTAGTCCAGAGAAAAAGAGAAAAAAGGAAGCCAAAGACTCAAAGAAGAAACTAGTCTACAGGACAAATAGTCTGCATGAACCATGGCCTCATCTATCCTGAGACCAGAACTAGATGGTGCCTGGCTACCACTACCCATCATTCTAATCAGGGCCACAATAGATGGACCCTGATAGAATGGGAGAAAGATGTAGAACAGAACCTCAAATTCCTTAAAAAAATAAAAAAACAGACCTACTGGGCTGGTTGAGACTGGAGGACTCCCCGAAACTATTGCCCTGAGATACTCTTCAAACCTTGAACCGAAACTCCTGAGGTCACCTTATAGCTAAAATAACAAATTGGCTCAAAAATAATGAATATCATCCATAAGTACTGTGCTCCTTTAAAAAATCACTTATATGAGACCAAATGGTCAACAATTACTTTAAAACAAAGATGAGAATGTGAAAGAGCAGGGAAACTAGATTGATGGAAATGGAACAACCAGAACAGGAATGAGAATGTTCATGCATTGTGAAAAATGTAACCAATGTCACTGAACAACTTCTGCAGAAATTGTTGAATGGGAACCTAAACTGCTGTGTGAACCTTCACCATTTTTTAGTGTCTTAAATGGAATCATACAGTATGTAATCTTGAGACTGGCTTCTTTCACTCAGCATAATGCTTTTGAGATTTATCCAAATTGTGTGTATCAGTAATTTGTTCTTTTTTATTGCTGAATAGTATTTCACTGAATAAATGTACCACAGTGTGTTTAGCCATTCATCCACTGAAGGACATTTGTGTTGTTTCTGTTTGGTTGATTATGAATAGAAAAACCGAAAAACCAAACCCATTGCCTTCGACTTGATTCCAACTCAACAGCGACCCTATAGGACAGAGTAGAACTGCCCCATAGGGTTTCCAAGGAGCAGCTGCTGGATTCGAACCGCCAACCTTTTGATTAGCAGCCAAGCTCTTAACCACTGCACCACAGGCCTCCATTCTGAATAGAGAGCACCTATAAACATTTGTGTCCAGGTTTTTGTATGAACTTACCCAGTAGTGAGATTGCTGGGTCATATGGTATGTGTATGTTTAGCTGTATAAGAAACTGCCAGACTATTGTTTTCCAGAATGGTTGTATCATACATTGCAATGTATGAGAGTTCCAGTTTCTCGTTGTCTTTACCAGCACTTGGTATTATTGATATTTTTTTATTTTTATTTGTATGTTTTAGTTTAGCCTTTTTAATAAGTGTATAGTGGTATGTCATCATGGTTTTAACTTGCACTATCCTAATAGCTAATGATGTTGAACAACTTTTCATGTGTTTATTTGCCTTCGGTGAGGTATCTGTTTACATCTTTTGCTTGGTTTTTAGTTGGTTGTTTTTCTTTTTACAGTTGAGTTTTGAGAGTTCTTTATATATCCTAGATGCAAGTCCTTTGTTGGAAGTGTGATTTGCGCATATTTTTCCCAGTCTTTAGCTTCTCTTTTCATTCTCTTAGCAGTGTCATTTGCAGAGCAAATGTTTTTAATTTTGATAAAGTACAGTTCATAATTTTTTTTTTCTTTTATGGATTGTGCTTTTGGTGTTATGTCTGAGGGCTCTGCCTAATCCCAGGTCATGAAGATTTTTGCCTGTTTTCTTCTAAATGTTTTATAGTTTTATGGTTTACATTTAGATTTATGATCTTTTTGAGTTAATATTTGTATAAGGTGTGAAGTTTAGGTTGAGTTTCATCTTTTTGCATATGAATGTCCAGTTGTTCCAGCATTATTATTTGACATTACTATCCTCTCCCACACTGAATTGCTTTTGCATCTTTGTCAAAAATCAATTGGCCATATTACATGGATTTTGTTTTTAGACTTGATATTCTAGTGTTTATCTTTTCACCAATACCACACTGTCTTAATGATTCAAACTTAGGAGCAAGTCTTAAAATCAGGTAATGTGATTCCTCCAACTTTATTCTTTTTCAGAATTGTTTTAGCTATTTTAATTCCTTTGCCTTTCCATATCAATTTTAGAATTAGCTTGTCTATCTGTAAGAAAATCTGCTGGGATGTTGATTGGAATTACATGAAATCTATAGACCAATTTAGGGAAAATTGACATTTTTATTATGTTAAGTCCCAGTCTTTAAACGTAGTATGTCTCTCTGCTTATTTAGATCTTTGATTTCTTTTATCAGCATTGTATAGTTTTCAGCATATAGATTATGGACATCTTTTATTACATTTATACCTAAGTTTCATTTTTTGGAGCTATTGTAAATAGATTTTTTGTTTTGTTTTCAATTGTACATTGCTAGCATATGGAAACACAGGTGATTCTGGTATGGTGACGTTGTATCCTGTGACCTTGCTAAACTCGCTTATTCTAGGAATTAATTTTAATTGATTCCTTGGTATTTTCTGTATAGACAATTGGCTTAGTCATCTAGTGCTGCTCTAACAGAAGTACCACGAGTGGATGGTTTTAACAAAGAAAAGTTTACTTCCTTACAGTAAAGTAGGCTAAAAGTCCAAATTCAGGGCGTCAGCTCCAGGGGAAGGCTTTCTCTCTCTGTCGGCCTTCTCGTCAATGTTCCCCTGGACTAGGAGCTTCTCCGCTCAGGGACCCCGGGTCCAAAGGACACGCTCTGCTCCTGGCATTGCTTTCTTGATGGTATGATGTCCCCAACTCTCTACTTGCTTCCCTTTTCTTTTATCTCTTGAGAGACAAAAGGTGGTGCGGGGAAACTCCCTTTACATTGGATCAGGGATGTGACATGGGTAAGGGTGGTGTTACAATCTCACCCTAATCCTCTTTAACGTAAAATTATAATCACAAAATGCAGGACAACCATAGAATCCGGAGAATCATGGCCTAGCCAAATTGATACACACTTTTTTGGGAGTACATAATTCAACCTATGACAACAATCATATTGCCTGCAGATACATACAGTTTTATTTCTTCCTTTCCAAACTATATATTTTTTATTTCTTTTTCTTGCCTAATTACCCTGGCTAGAACCTTGAGTACAGTGTTGAGTAAAAGTGGCAAGAGTGGGCATCATTGTCTTGTTCCTGATCTTAGGGGGACAGTATTTAGTCAGTCTTTCACCACTGAGTATATGTTAGTTGGGGTTTTTGTACAGATGTCCTTTATCAGGTTTAAAAAATTTTCCTTCTATTTCTAGTTTCCTGAGAGTTTTTATCATTACTGGGTGTTGAATTTTGTCAAATGCTTTTTCTGAATCAATTGATATGATCATGTGGTTTTTTCCTTTAGATTCTTTATATGGTGGATTACATTGATTTTTCACATTTTTGAATAGGGGAAAAAAAAAGTTTTGCAAGAATGCATCTAATATGATTAAAGAAAAGGAAAGTTCAAACATAATCAAAACTAAGTATATTGCTTGGTTGTTGTTGGATGTTGTTGAGTCAATTTCAACTCATAGCAACCCTGTGTGACAGAGTAGAACTGCCTTATGGGGTTTTCTAGGCTGTAATCTTTACAGAAGCAGATCACCAGGTCTTTCTCCTGTGGAGCCAACCTTTTGATTAGCAGCCAAGTGCTTAACCATTGCACCAGGGCTCCTTACTATATATCTTAGGTATCCAATATATGTGGTGGAACTGTAAGAAATCACCAAGAACCATAAACAATAGAGGCACAATTCTGGAAAATAGATATCGCTGCAGTGAGAGGGAAAAGATAGGACCCTAGAGAAGCCACAGTGGCCATCACAGTGATTGTTGGTATTCTGATTCTCTTAATTGGTGGTTTTCCAGGAATTTGCTGTGTTGTTTCTCTTTAGACCCCATTAAAAAAAAAAAGACAGTTGCCATCAAGTTGATTCCAACTTACGGTGACACCACATGTTGCAGAGTAGAACTGTTCCATAGGGTTTTCATGGCTATGACCTTTCAGAAGCAGATCACCAGGCATTTCTTCCGAGGTGCCTCTGGGAGGGTTCAAACCACCAACCTTTCAGTTAGTAGTCAAATGCTTAACCATTTGCACCACCCAGGGGCTCCTTAGACCCCATCCACTTCATAAATATTTTAGTATATCTACTTATCAGTCCTCAGTGTGTTTATTGAATACATTAAGAAAAATTGAAGTTCTGCCACAATCTCTGAAGAATGCTGTGTGCAGCCTTCAGTGCTGTGATGGTGTGCTAACTGCCACTTCTCCTCAGGAATCTCCAGAACCTGCTGATCCTGACCGCCACCAAGGCAGACCACACACGAGTCACAACCACTTGGACAATTACAACGCCCCAGACATTGCGAGCATTGCCATCAGCAGTGCCCTATATGAGGAGGCTTTCACCATCTTCTGCAAGTTTGGCATGAATACCTCAGCAGTCCAGGTGGGCTGCTTTGTACAGTTGTGTTGACTCTGTAGCGCTTTGCCAGGCTGCACATGCTCCCTCGAGTCCTTGTCTTCCCTGAGACTCTCTAACGCTTGGTTGTCTAGTGCATCTCAGACTCTTGTGCTGTTCTCTGCTGCTCACCAAAGACCCATCTTCCCAGCCTTTTCACTCCTTGTCTTGGCCTTCTCTGTTGGATCACCTTCCATCTGGCAGTTACCCACCATTTCCCAGTAGTTCTCCAACACTCTCCTGGACTTTGATACCTGTTGCAAGGTGGTACAGTCAGCCCTGGTGACTTAGCTGTTTGATTTTCAGAGGCTCCCACACACTAACCCCATGTGATGATAGCCCTTCACTACCATGCTACTTCAACTCACCATTACCATCTATGGCTGACCCCACCTCATTAGCAGGAGCAGTTCATTATCTGAGATTGAGCACCCAGAGTAATTCTTCCAGCCCTGCCTGCCTCGCCTCACCAAGATTGCTTTTTCCTTAATCCTTATCCCTTTCCTCCCAGTCTGTCAATACTTTTCTGGTTTTATCTCCAAATCCATTGTAAACTACATGATCTGTCACATTAATTGCTCTCCTACGAATATTCTTTACTTCCTTGCCTCTTCCTTTACCATTTTTCTATACCTGTTTGTGAAACATCTGGTCTAGAAGCCCTTCTTTTCTGCTCACACATGGCCCTGACCTTGCTCTGAGACCAGACCACCCTATCAAGTGGGAGCAGCTGCTGTTGCTTCCGCCTCCAGTCTCACACGGTGATGGTAAGCACCGTAGCCAAGCCCTCGGGTGCCCTATAAGCCCGTTTCTGCCTGTTGAGCAGTCCATTCCCCATAGCAGCTCCTGTGTGAAACTGCTTATTGTCTTATGCCCAATCACACTGTCTCCTCCCACGACCAAGATCAGGCAGCAACTCCACGCCCTGCTCCTGGTCTCCATTTTTTATACCTCTTTGTTTGGAGTGTCTCTCTTCTCTGTCTGGCAGCCTCCCTGCCCCTGCAACGACCCTTGTCCCTCCTCTCCATTTACATCCAAGAAATTGAAATGACCATGCAACTTTAGGCAGAACATGGAACTGGACAAAAGTTTCTCTGCTCATTGGAGCTAATTAGATGTTGCCAAGAATGAGAGTCCCCTTGGAACTCCTAGGTCCTCATCAAGCACATTGGAAACTTAGGGCATATGAGTTTGCGGAGAGATGTAATGAGCCTGATGTGTGGAGTCAGCTGGCCCAAGCCCAGCTCCAGAAAGACTTGGTGAAGGAAGCCATCGACTCCTATATCAGAGCTAACGACCCTTCCTCTTACCTGGAAGTGGTCCAGGCAGCTAACAGGAGCAGTAAGTGATTGTGCTTTCCATGGGGCTCTACTGATGGGAAGCCTGGCCAAGGGAGGTGGGTAGCTTTCCTAGGAATCTGTATGAATTCTTCATCCAGAGATATCATAGGACACAGCTAAATTAAAGTTTTCAGAAAGAGTCTCAGATAAAGATGCCCCTGTTCAAAATCTTATGCTGTTGGTGGCACTAGCTCTTCAGATGACTATTGCCCTCTTTTACAAGACTAGCCAGTTTTAGCGCAATAGGTATCACTGTCATAATAACTTTAAGGTCAGTGTCTTAGACCCAAAGTTCCCTGGGGAATTTCTTGATGGTTGTTCACTGACCTTTCCAGTGGCTAGAATAAGCATCCTGGCCCTTGGTGAAGTCTTTGCTTGGTGACATAGAGGTTTCCGTCCCCAGGGGCAGCTCACATGTGGTTCTGCCCCTTCCCCTTCTCTTAGCTGGGATGGGAGCTGTTTAGCTGGGCACAGTCCAAGACCTAGACATTCACTGGAGACTGAGCTCTCAGTCAGACATGAGAGGGAGGATAAAAGTATCTTGGCTGAAGACAGAATAGGAAGGAACTGAGCCCCCTGTTTAAAATTTGGCTGAGGATTAACCTGTTTGTGTTTTCTCTCTTCAGCCAACTGGGAGGATCTAGTTAAATTCCTACAGATGGCCAGGAAAACGGGCCAAGAATCCTCTATAGATACTGAACTTACGTTTGCCCTGGCTAAAACCAGCCATCTCTCTGTGCTGGAAGACTGCATTAATGGACCTACCAGTGCCCACATCTAGCAGGTAGGCCATGCTGGTGGAGGACTGTCAGCACTTGCTGTCGAGTTCAGACCAAGGAGCACTCTGTAGAGTGAAGCAGATTTGGGATTGGAAGAACCAAGCTACATATCAAATTAAGTAACTTAAACCTTTAGCATTGCTTTCACGGAGTTCATTCCTAACCACATTCCATGAGGGATAGCCAGCATTATCATTCCTATTTTACTGGTATGTAAATTAAGACCCTTGGAGTTTTGAGATGCCCTTGGTTATACACATCAGAACGATTCTCCTAGAAAGGAAGATGTCAGAACTTATATGCAGGTGTTCGAAATGTTTATCACAAGAAAACAAAATTAACTGATTAGCTTAGAATTAACCACTGTACCACCAGGGCGCCGATAGAATTAATAAACTGGCTAAATAAAAGATATATATTGAAAATGAATAGCTTTCCCACATGTCCATGATAATCAGACAATATAATGGAAAAAAACAACATTCCTTTTTAAATAGGAATAAAACAAAAATATTCAAATAAATCTTAACCAAAAGAGCATTAAATAAAAGAAAGATCTAAATAATTTTAAAGTCAGGCCTGCAGGTCAGATGTTAACCCTGAAAGAAATGATACCAAGAGATGAGGGATAATGAAATGTATTATAACTACAGAAAGTGCCAGAGTGCTCCTCATGAAAGAATGCACACGTCATTGGAATGAATAACTCAAAAGTTGTTTTTGGAGTCTTTATTTCAAAATAGGTTCCAATAAATTTTTAGAAGTTAGGTTAGTGTTTTGAAAGGGATTAAAAGTTCAGCATGTAGTTCTGTAGCCAAAATAAAATCCTAGATACATGAAAGAATTAAAGGTAAAAGTTGAGTTTTCTTTTTACTTAAAAAAATTTCAATATTTATTTGAATGTCTGAGGAAGGAGTTTTTAAGCATATAAGAAATGGAAGAAAGCAGAAAAGAAAATATCAGTTCATTAAATGCATAGAAATTTTAAATATGTGTATTTAACCTAATCTTTGACCTAGTAAATATAGATGTAAAAATCTATCCCAAGGAAGTAGAAAAGATTCAGATACATTTGCATGTAATTATTTAATCATTGCAACATGATTTATGCTAATAAACATTGAAAGTCAGTGTCCAGCAAAAGACAATAGTTAAATAACAACATCCATCAATGGAATATAATACAGCCATTACAAGTATTTGGAACATTGTTCATAATAGAAAAGCCTTTCAAAGTAAGTTCAAAGTGAAAAACTGCATGCACCATATAATAAATGTATACACCTAGCAAGAAAACGATGACAGTGTGATATGGAATTGGGGGTATTATTTTCCTTTTATTTACCTGTGTTTTCAAAGTTTTTTTTTAATCAAAGACCATATAACTTTGGAAATTGCCTTTATAATCAGAAAATTAATAAAAGTTTTAGGAAGCAAAATCTTGCCAAAAATCACCCTCCGAATTAGTAACAGAATTCTTCAAGATAGAGATTTGCTGAGTAAAGAACCAGAGGCACTGCGGGATGTGAAGCATCACATTCCACAGTGCTGGCCCTGGGCACAGACATGGTCTTGCTCTCACCTCCTGGTTTACAGTGGCCGGTGGCCGGATGAGCTCCCTGCCTTCCACAGGGAGGATCTAAAACAAAGGTCAGTAAATTTTAGCCTGTGGGCCAGGTCCAACCTATTTGTGTGTGGCCTGGAGGCTAAGAATAACTTTTAAACATCTCAGATAAACCCAGAGAATGTAACCCTTATAACCTCACACCCTCCAGACATAGAAATTTCTTGTTTTCCAAGAAAACAAAGAAATATTTAACAGGAATATCCTTTCCTATTTCATTTTTAAATATTTTGTTGTCTCTGAAAGTCAGTATATCCCCCCTTTTAAAATTACACTACTATCGACACATCCTCCAAATCAGTAATTCCTTAATATCAAATGAGCCAGTGTTCGTGTTTCCTTGATTTTCCTAAAATTTTTTAACAATTTGTTTGAATTGGGATCTCCAAATGTAGCCTAGTCAGTGCAATTGGTTAATCTCTCTCTTTAATCTCTCAGTTCTCTCTCTCTTTTTTTTTTCTCCCTTATCATTTTTTGGTTGAAGAAATTACGTCTGGTTTGTTGATTTCCCAGAGTCTGGCTCCTGTTGACTGCACCTCATGATGTTTTCCCTGTTTGTTGTTGTTGTTAGGTGCTGCCAAGTCAGTTCTGACTCATAGGAACCTCATGTACAACAGAACAAAACACTGCCTGGTCCTGCACCATCCTCATAGTCACTGTTATGCTTGAGCCCATTGTTGCAGCCACTGTGTCAGTCTATCTTGTTGAGAGTCTTCCTCTTTTTCGTTGACCCTCGACTTTACAAAACATGATGTCCTTCTCCAGGGACTGGTCCCTACTGATAACATGTCCAAAGTACTTGAGATGAAGTCTCATCATCCTTGCTTCTAAGGAGCATTCTGGCTATACTTACCAAGACAGATTTGTTCATTCTTCTGGCAGTCCATGGTATATTCAATATTCTTCACCAACACCATAATTCAAAGGCATCAATTGTTCTGTCTTCCCTATTCATTGTCTGGCTCTTGCATGCATTTATGAGGTGATGGAAAGTACCATGGCTTGGGTCAGGCACACCTTAGTCCTCAAAGTGACATCTTTGCTTTTTAACACCTTTAAAGAGGTCCTTTGCAGCAGATTTACCCAATGCAGTATGTCATTTGGTTTCTTGACTGTTGCTTCCATGGTCACTGATTGTGAATCCAAGTAAAATGAAATCCTTGACAATTTCAGTCTTTTCTTTGTTCATCATGATGTTGCTTATTGGTTCAGTTGTGAGGATTCTTGTTTTATGTTGAGGTGCAATCCCTAGTGAAGGCTGTAGTCTTTGATCTCCATCAGTGTTTCAAGTCCTGTTCTCTTTCAGCAAGCAAGGTTGTGTCATCTGCATGACGCAGGTTGTTAATGAGTCTTCCTCTAATCCTGATGCCCTGTTCTTCTTCATATAGTCGATCTTCTTGGATTATTTGCTCAGCATACAGTTTGAATAAGTAGGGTGAAAGGATACAACTCTGATGCACACCTTTCCTGACTTTAAACTATGCAGTACCCCTTGTTCTGTTCAAATGACTGCCTCTTGGTCTATGTACATGTTCCTCATGAGCACAATTAAGTGTTTTGGAATTCCTATTCTTTGCAATGTTATCCATAATTTGTTATGATCCACAAAATCTAATTCTTTTGCATAGTCAGTGAAACACAAGTGAACATCTTTCTGGTATTCTTTGCTTTTAGCCAAGATCTATCTGACATCAGCAATGATATCCCTCATTCCACATCCTCTTCTTGCAAAATTCTATCATACAGTCTCCAGCATCACTTCTATCACAAAGGCCATATTTTCCAACTACCAATCCTTCTTGTTTCCAACTTTCACATTCCAAGCACCAGTAATTATCAATGCATCCTAATTGCATGTTCGATCAATTTCAGACCACATAAGTTGGTAAAAATCTTCAATTTCTTCATCTTTGGCCTTAGCAGTTGGTGCATAAATTTGAATGATAGTCGTATTAACTGGTCTTCCTTGTAGGCATATGGATAATATCCTATCACTGACAACGTTGTACTTCAGGATAGATCTTGAAATGTTCTTTTTGACAATGAATGCAACACCATTCAATTTACTTCATCATCTCCTCCTAGAATTTTGCAAGACCAATGACTTCTTCATTGCAAATACCTTTTTTCACCAACATAAGTGGTGACTGTACACATGGACCTCACGAGATAGAATACACAGGAATCAAATCGACTACCTCTGTGGAAAGAGAAGATGGAAAAGCTCAGTAACATCAGTCAGAACAAGGCCAGGAGCCAACTACAGAACAGACTATCAGTTGCTCGTATGCAAGTTCAAGTTGAAACTGAAGAAAATTAGAACAAGTCCACGAGAGCCAAAGTACAACCTTGAGTATATCCCCCCTGAACTTAGAGACCATCTCAAGAATAGATTTTACGCATTGAACACTAATGACCGAAGACCAGATGAGTTGTGGAATGACATCAAGAACATCATACATGAAGAAAGCAAGAGATCATTAACAAGACGGGAAAGAAAGAATAGACCAAAATGGATGTCAGAAGAGACTCTGAAACTTGCTCTTGAATGTCGAGTAGGTAAAGCAAAAAGAAGAAATGATGAAGTAAAAGAGCTGAACAGAAGATTTCAAAGGGTAGCTCAAGAAGACAAAGTAAAGTATTATAATGACATGTGCAAAGACCTGGAGTTAGAAAACCGAAAGGGAAAAACACACTCAGCATTTCTCAAACTGATAGAACTGAAGAAAAAACTCAAGCCTCAAGTTGCAATATTGAAGGATTCTATGGGGAAAATATTAAACGACACAAAAAGCATCAAAAGAAGATGGAAGGAATACACAGTCACTGTACCAAAAAGAATTGGTCAGTGTTTGACCATTTCTGGAGGTAGCATATGATCAGGAACCGGTGATACTGAAGGAAGAAATCCAAGCTTCACTGAAGGCATTGTCGAAAAACAATGCTCCGGGAATTGACGAAATACCAGTTGAGATATTTCAACAAATGGATGCAGTGCTGGAAGTGCTCACTCATCTATGCCAAGAAATTTGGAAGACAGCTACCTGGCCAGTCGACTGGAAGAGATCCACATTTATGCCTATTCCCAAGAAAGGTGATCCAACCGAATGCAGAAATTATCGAAAATATCATTAATATCACAGGCAAGTAAAATTTTGCTAAAGATGATTCAAAAGCAGCTGCATCAGTACATTGACAGAGAACTGTCAGAAATTCAAGCCGGATTCAGAAGAGGACATGGAACCAGGGATATCATTCCTGATGTCAGATGGATCCTGGCTGAAAGCAGAGAATACCAAAAAGATGTTTACCTATGTTTTATTGACTATGCAAAGACATTTGACTGTGTGGATCATAACAAATTATGGATAACATTACGAATGAGAATTCCAAAACAGTTGATTGTGCTCATAAGGAACCTGTACATAGATCAAGAGGCAGTCATTCAAACAGAACAAGGGGATACTGCGTGGTTTAAAGTTAGGAAGGGTGTGCGTCAGGGTTGTATCCTTTCACCATACCTATTCAATCTGTATGCTGAGCAAATAATCCAAGAAGCTGGACTGTATGAAGAAGAATGGGGCATCAGGATTGGAGGAAGGCTCATTAACAACCTAAATTTGAATAATAGTTATATTCACTGGTCTTACTTGTAGGCTTATGGGTATTATCCTGTCATTGATAGCCTTGTACTTTAGGATCTTGAAATGTTGTTTTTGACAATGAATGCGATGCCATTCCTCTTCAATCCTGTCGTAGGCCAGTACCAGTCCATTTCGCTCACTAATGGCTTGGATATCAATTTTTATGCATTCCGTTTCATTTTTGACAACTTCCAATTTTCCTAGACTCATACTTCTTACATTCCTCATCATAATTATTAATGGATGTTTGCAGCTCTTTCTTCTCATTTTGAGTTGTGCCACATCAGCAGATGAAGGTCCCGAAAGCTTGACTCCATCCACATCATTAAAGTCAACTCTACTTTGAAGAGGCAGCTCTTCCCCAGTCGTATTTTGAGTGCCTTCCAACCTGAGGGGCTCATTTTCCAAAGCTATATCAGACAGTGTTCCACTGCTATTCATAAGGTTTTCACTGGCCAATTTTTTCAGAAGTACACTGCCAGTTCTTTCTTCCTAGTCTGTCTTAGTCTGGAAGCTCCACTGAAACCTGTCCACCATGGGTGACCTTGCTAGTATTTGAAATACCAGTGGCGTAGCTTCCAGGATCACAGCAACACACAAGTCACCACAGTACTACAAACTGACAGACGAGTGATCTCCCTGTATTTCCTTTAAATTGGCAGTAACTAGAGTCTTAAATGATCATTCCCTTTGATACAATCCTTCATTTATTCATTCATCCAGCAAACTTGTATTGAATATCTACTCTCTGCCAGGGTAGGGGCTGTGGGTACAGGAGTGAAAATAGTAGTTGAATTTCTGCCCTCATGAAGGATTTGAAAAATCCATCCAAGAAACGTATAGCATGTAAAATGGTAAGTGTAAAGGATTAAAACGCAGCAAGGAATGGGGGTGGTGAGACATGTTAGGCAAGTAATGGGCATGAAGGTGGGCATTGCCATTTTAGACAAGGTGGCTGGGGAAGGTGTCTCTGATGTGGGGCGTGAGTATGCATCCCTCTAGGGGAAGAGAACTTAGAACAGAGAGAACAGCCAGTACAGGGGCCCTGAGAGAGAGGATATGTACTGAGGTAGCAGTGAAGAGGGGTTGTGGTGGCTAAAGCAGGACAATCAACAGTGAAACTGTTCAGGATTAAAGTCAAAGAGGGGACGTGGGGAGGAGCCACCATGTGTGGGACTTGTGGGCCATTGTAAGAACTCAGGTTCCTACCCTGGGTGAGACTGGAGGATTTTGAGCAGAGGGAGGGATGTGACCTGCTCTTGGTGTTAACAGAATCCCTCTGGCTGCTGTTTTGAAAATAGACTGAAGGACAAGGGCAGAAGCAGTGGGCGCAGGGAAGAGGCTATTGCAGTAATCCAGCAGGAGTTGATAGTGATGGAATAAAGTAGTTGAGGTGACTGACAGCAAGTAGTTAGTCTCTGGATGTGCTTTGAAGGCAGAGCTAACAGAGTCTGGTGATAGGTTGGTGTGAGAAAAAGTGAAGAAACAAGGTGTCTCTGTTTTGGGGCTGCAACTGTCCACCACTGGCAGGATGAGTTTACACTCATGGATTGGGGAAGAATGTGAAGAGCTTCCTTGGGAGATGACAGGAACCATGTTTGGACTAGCTTGAGCTCTACCAGACATCCCAGTAGGTATGTGCAGTTGGGCGTAGAAGTTAGTTTTCTGAGGAGGAGTCTAGACTAGAGATGGAAAGGTGGTAGCCTACAGCATGCAGATGATGCCCACAGCCGAGTGTGTGAGAACATGGCAAGGCAAGGGGTGGCAAGTAGGGCACGGGGCCAGATACTGAGGCTGGGCAGAAGCTGGGGAGAGACGAAGACTCCGCTGTGGAGATTGTGAGTGGCCAGAGATGTGGGGAAAATCAGGAGGGTTTGTCCAGGAAATGGAAGAATGAAGAACAGGTTTGCTGGGAGGAGCGGACGAGTCAGATGCTCCTGAAAACTGCGGTTCAGCAAATCAAGAGTCGGGGACAAGAGCTGACTGGAGTGGGTTCCAGAGGGGATGCAAGAGTCTGGGGACAGCTCTCATAGACATTCGGGCACCTCTTTTGAGAAATGTTGCTCTAAAGGAAAGGATAGAAATAAGGTGAGGTCAGAATGAGTAGGATTTGTTTTGTTTCCTTTTGTTAAAGATGGAGGAAATAACAATGGTTCCTAAGCTCATGGGAATGATTTAGTACAGAGGGAGGAATTGAGGCAGGCAGGTTGCTGGGACACTGTCCTTGAGCAGGTAAAGAGGAGTGGGGTCAGTTGCACCAGAAGAGCTGGCTGCAGTGACGTGGTGATCCCCTCATCTGTAGTGAGAGAGAAGATGAGGCATGTAGACCACAGACACAGAGAGGGGCAGACATGGCCATGGTGCTTGTGGAAAGGCTCCTCTGACTGTTTCTCAGGAAATGGGAAGCCAGGTACTCCACTTGAGGAATTATTGGATTTGAGGAGAGAAAATATGAAATAGTCGACCAAAAAAGAGTGTACGGATTAAGGAAGTAAGATTGCTAGTTCTGTGAGCTCATTTAAAAGTTTAAAAAAAAAAAAAACAAACCCAAACTTGTTACCGCCAAGTCAATTCCAGCTCATAGCAACCCTATGTGACAGGGTAGAATTGCCCCATAAGATTTCCAAGTCTGTAATCTTTACAGAAGCAGATTGTCACATCTTTTTTCTGCAGAGCAACTGTGGGTTTAAACAGCTGACTCTTCAGTTAGCAGCTGAGGCAGCTGAGTGCTTAAACACTGTGCCACCAGGGCTGCTTCATTTAAGGTTAATGATCATGAATTTAAAGGAAGACTACTCAGCACTTTTGGTTTCAATTGTCTGTATTTAGCTCTGCAGCCACTGGTATGCAATAGGTGGAGAATTGGCTGTAACCGGCACTGGGATTTAGCCACATGAGTCCGACCTAAGGAGTTGAGAATGAATGCAGAGTCGTATAGACATGGAGTAAGCTGGGCACAGACTGAAGGTACTGAGGGGTAGAGTCGATGGACTGGTGGAGTTAGGGTGCTGGAGGCAGTGTGCTGTAAAAGAGGAGCTAGGCAAAGAGTGCGTATTTGTGATGGGGATTTTAAGGGGGTGGCAGCCCTTGGACAAGATTTAGGGCATGGCCATGGCATTGACTAGCTGTTGTTGCGAGGTCTTCACAGCAGAGGAAGTCAAAGAATGCTAACATTGCCAAGGAAGATCTGTAAATGGCAGCAAGAACAGGGCTGGGGGTGCTGTCTGACACAGGCTCACAGGTGGCAGTTTCTAGTGGGGAGGAAGGGGGTGGCCTGAAAGCAGAGAGAACACACCTCCTCGACCTCAGGCCCAATGGGTGCAGTGTGGGAGATGATAGCCAGGCTTGTGAGGGGGCATAGTGTCAGGGCAGAGGCGGGCAAGTGGTGGCCGCTCCCCAATCTGTACGAGGAGCTTGTCGTCTTCCAAGTTCCCTGCAGTGGCCTGTGCTTCTGGTGCAGTTAGAGTTACTTACATCTGTAAAAACATAAAAATGCCTCTGCCATCAAAGAACTTAAAACCACCTCTGTGAAGTTTTTCCATTTAAGAGTGTCTCATAGAGACCGGAAGAACTGGATGGTACCTGGCTGCCATTACTGATCGTTTTGATAAAAAAAAAAAAATTCTATAGAAGAATCTTGCTCAAAAGGAGGAAAAATACAGAATAGAATTTCAAGTTCTCAGTGGAATCCAGACTTTCTGGAGCCATTGAGTGTAGATGAACCCCAACAGTATTGCCCTGAGATAATCTTTAAACCTTAAACCAAAACTATCCCCTCAACTCTTCTTTGAACCAAAAATTAGCTTATCTTAATTAGTAAAGTATGTCTACTTTGAGCATTGTGGTCTTTTAAAGAATGATCTGTGTGAGATCAAATGGTCAACAGCAACTCAAAAGGTTAGATGAGAAGTTTAGGGGGCAGTGAGTTTAAAAAGATGATGAGAATGGTTACACAACTTGAAGAATGTAATCAATGTCATTATACATGTAGAAATTATTGAAATGGTATATCTTTTGCTGTGTATACTTTCTCAAAAATAAAAAAAAAAGTGTCTTACATAGCTACCCAATTCTTTGTAGGTTGGCGACTGCTGTTACAGGGAAGGAATGTACGAAGCTGCCAGGCTGCTGTATAGCAGTGTTTCTAACTTTGCCTGCCCGGCTTCCACCCTGGTCCACCTCGGTGAGTATCAGGCAGCAGTGGACAGCAGCCGCAAGACCAACAGCACATGGACGTGGAAGGAGGCAAGCCACAGAAAGTCCCAGCAGAGTGCTGGTCCAGCAAACATTCTCTCATTGTCCGTCCTTCTGTACTCCACACTTTTGTGTCAAATGGGATGAGTGTGGGATCTGCCTCTTGTCTAGTCAGTGTTCTCAATCCTCTGGGATGGCTCAGAGAACCTAATAAGCCAGCATTTATGGTTAGAAGCAAAGGCACTGTGAACCCCGTGTCAGGCCGGTCACTCCGAGAAATTGTTTTTTTAGTACATAATGTGTTCTCTTTCCATATTATGATTGTAATTTGAAATGTTTTAAGTCATATTACCTCGTTAGTGGCATCATCAATGTGTGTTGACATTACTGGTCTTTTGTTGGATGCCAGACATGATACACCAGGTAAGGGGAGCTGAGGTGCCCTCAGTTGTAGGGTTCTGTTGATGCTGACATGGTGGTAAGGTGTGGGAGAGGGGAAGTGTTCTGTAGTCCTAGGATTAGGTCTTAGTCTCCTAGTGAGCCTTCATCCCAGGGTTGGAACCTTCCCAAGTGCTTCTTGCCTTTTTTTCCACTTCTTAGATAAAACAGGAAGGCTAGAGAGGTCTACTCTAGTCAAGCTGTTTCCCATGTGGGCAGGCTGTTGTCAAGGAGAACAGAGCACTATTTCAAAATGATTACTTTCCTCTCCCCCTGCGGGGAGCAGAGGGAACTTTTCTCTGACCTTCACAAGGAAGACTTGGTGGGGCTTCTGGAATGAAACTCAGAAAAGTATGGGCCCTCCTCCCCACAAGGCTGGGCCTCCAGAGGTTTTTTACCTTTCAGGCATGTCCATGCTCAGTCTCCAGCGATTCGTCAGTTACCCTGTAAGTGTTCCTGCTGATGCTTGGCCCTGCTGCAGGCTATGGTCTCTGGTCCTGAGAAGCGGTGATGCTCTGTATCTGTCTCTCCAGTTTTCGGGGCAGCAATTTGCTCTGTGCTCTCCACTCTAATGGAACTAAGAAGAATTGTTGATTTTCAGGTTTTTTGGGGGTTTTTTCTGCTTTTTTCTTGTAAAGACAAGAAAGATGACTTCCAAGCTCCTTACATGCTGGATGGGACTATGGTTGGTCTTTTGTGGCAGATTGGTAGGGTGAGCTGTCTTGAGGCTCTCTGATAATATAGTCATCTGTTAGTGGAAAAGAGTTTGTAAGATGATGTGCAAAAGACTGAGCTTCAGTGAATCTCTGAAGCATGGTTTGGTAAAAGATTAGAATCAGCCAATATCAAGGTCCAATACCAGGGCCTTGGTTAAACAGGGTACACATTGCAACTCTACTCAGCTGTTCAAAATGAATAGGCGGGTTTATGGGGAAACGTGTTTTCAATATGATGTGAGAAATATGTTGTAAAGTAGAATGTACAGTTTCATTCCACTTTGCACGTGTGTGTGAGTATGTAAGAGGGGTTTGGTGAGGGTGCTAATGCATAAATCACACATAGATCATAGTGGGCAAAGATTATGCCTCAGGTTAAGAGTGATTAGCTATCTCTGGGTGATTTTATAATTTGTATTTATCTGTGCTTTCTGCCTCGTCTGCAGTGAAAGCATGTATTGCATATAAAAGGTGAGGAAGGAGGGGAAATGCTCACGGGCCAAGCTGTGTTTGTGGTGCATGGTTGGTTCAGCGCGATCCACGGAAGCAGTTCGGTCACAGTGCCTCCTTAGTCTGTATGAGCAGCAGGGTCGTTCTGCACAGAGCAGCTCTTCACTTCTTAAACACTTTTTATCATTGAGTATACATATAGTATGGTATATAAAACAAAAGTACAGTTTAAAAAAAAAAACTCTAAGGCAAACTCCTTCCATGTAAACAGCACTCGGATGAAATATGCTCCACTTGTTTTTTCTCCAATCATAGTTACTTTTGAGCTTTGATAAACCCTTTCCAAGCCCCCAAACCTGAAATTCCAGCATGACTCTCCTGTCACCCAAACAAACCTCCATGTCACAAGTCTTAGAAGTAATTCATGAGCTTTCTTCTTTCCATGGTTTCCAATACCGCCTTGGCCTGCAGATTATAAATGTCAATATTTTTTCTCCAGAGTCTAGTGGCGTTCATCTTATAGTTATCCACTTGTTCAGGAAGCCAACTTAAACAGCCCCACTTGCTGGTGTTTCTGCATTTCCAGGTGCATATCTGTAAGCCCCCTGTTTTGGTGCTGTTTCCTCTCCTGAGGACGCTCACTCAGACCTTCCTTCCCCTAGGTGTGCTTTGCCTGCATGGATGGGCAGGAGTTCTGCCTTGCACAACTCTGTGGTCTTCACATAGTCATCCATGCAGATGAGCTGGAGGAGCTGATCCACTATTACCAGGTAACTAGCCCCTCGTCGGAGATGATCACTATTGCTAATGAAGGTCCTGAGTGACACTGAAATGCTCCTAACGAAGGGGCAGTCATTCTCTGAGTATGTGATGAGTCACAGTATTGCATCTGCAAATAAGTATAAAAAATACAGAGCCTTGTCTCTTTGGGGAAAGTTCTTTCGTGCACTGGACATCAAGTTTATAAGTGAAATTCACATGGGCTTGTTAGGCACCCTGGGCCTCTTGGCTGGCTAGTGTTTTTTGTTTGTGAAAACACTCTCACTGCTCCTGGTCAGTGCATCTGCAGAAACCCAGTCAATGGCTTGCAAACTGGGGAGAATCCCTGGGTAACTTGCTGAGAATACTGGGCTAAACATGGCAGAGCCAGGGTCCAAATCCTAGTTCCCATGGTGTGCAGCGCCAAGGAGGTAAGACTACTAAAACTTTAGAGAAAAAAAGTTTGAGTGTCCAGGAGGGAGAACCCAAAAGTAGCCCATTTGGAAGGGTAGGGGCACTGCATGTTTGTATTGTACTTCTGCTTTGCTACTGAGTGGCTGAAAGATAGACATCAGCATGTTTAGGGGCCTGCCTCTCCACTGTGGGATTCCTGCAGCTGTGTGGTCATGCTAGGTGTGATTAGTAAAGACAGACCATTAGACTTTGCTTAGCTCTGTTACTGTTCCCATGGAACTCAGCCCCAGCCCCCTCTCTGCGTGAAGAGTAGCCTGGAGGGGGCTCAGTGAGTCACAGGACTCTGGGGCCTTCCTCATGGGACCTGTGAGCCTGTGAAAGTGCATACATTGATGCCCACAGTATCAAGCTAGACTTGATGACTTTTAAATGATAAATGTCCTCCTGTCACACAGAGATTTGAGAAATCAATCAGAGCAAGCAGAGAAAGTAATAATGTAGTCCAGAGGCTGGCAGAAAAGAGTGATTCATTTGTTCAGCAAATGTTTGAACACCTACTGTGTGCTGGGCATTGTTTTAGTGAACAAAATTGTATCAGTGAACAAAATTGTATCAGTGAACAAAACAAACAAGTCCCTATTCAGATGAATTTCCATTCAGCGAGGTTGACGGGCAAGAAACAAGCATTAATGAGTAAATCATGTAGTATGTTTGAGGTGATGAGTTACGGGGGGAATAGAGCAAATTTGGGAGGGTAAGCATGCCAGGGTGGATAGGTTGGGTGGGGTTTCATAAAGGGGTGGTCAAGGTATAGTAGGACTACTTGAGAGGATGACATTCGAGCAAAGACTTGAAGAAATTGAGGGTCTTGGCTATGTGAATATTTGAGAGAAGAGTATTTCAGGAAGAGTTAGCAGAGCAAAATCCCCAAGGTAGGAGCCCCTGAGGCTGGAACCTGAGAGTAAGGGTGAGTGGAGGAGGGCTGGACCCCAGACCTTTATGAAGGACCTGGGAGTGGGGGGCACATGGAAGGCAAGAGAGCAGCTAGTCACTATTGCAGCAATCTAGATGAGAGGAGATGGTGGCTCAGCCCAGGGAGGTGGTGATGCAGGGTGAGAGGTGGTCAGAGGTAGGATGTATATTTTGAATGGAGCCTTGGTGGCGCAGTGGTTAAGAGCTGCAGTTGCTAAACAAGAGGTCAGCAATTTGAATGAACCAGCCACTCCTTGGAAACACTGTGCAGGCAGTTCTTCTCTGTCCTATAGGGTAGCTATTCATCAGAATCGACTCAACGGCAATGGGTTTGGTTTTTGATTTTTTATTTTGAAAGTGCATCCAACTTGATATGCTAATGGATTATATCTTAGTCTCCTAGTACTACTATAACAGAAATGCCACAAGTGAGTGGCTTCAACGAACAGAAATTTATTTTCTTACATTTAGGCTAGAAGTCTAAATTCAGGGTGCTGGCTTTAAGGGAAGGTTCTCTCTCTGTGTGGGCTCTGGGGAAAGTCCTTATCTGTTTTCAGCTCTGTTCCTCAGTTCCAGTCCTTATGGAGAGAGGCATCTATCTTCCCCCATCTGGGCTTGCATGCTTCTCTGTGCCTAATCTGCTCTTTTATATCTCAAAAATGGTTGTCTTAAAACACACCCTAGACTGATATGGCCTTATTAACATACCAAAGAAAACCCTATTCCCAAATGGGATTACAGCCACAAGTAAAGGGGTTAGGATTTAAAATACATATTTTGGGGGCACACTATTCAGTCCATAACAGATTGTATGTGGGATGAGAGAAAATAGTCAAGGATGACTCCATTTATTTTGGCTTGAACAGCTGTAAGTATGGCATTACCGTGAGTGGAAATGGGGAAGACCAAAGATGGGAAGAGCAGGAATTCTGTTGTGGACATACTGTGAGCTGCTAGGTAGATGTTCAGAGGTGTCAAGCAGGCAATTAGAAAGATAGAGTCTGGTGTTCAGAGAGGAAACCCAGCTGGAGACAGAAAACGGGGAGCTTTTGCCATATTGATGGTGTATAAAGACACCAGGTAAGAAAGGCCAAAGATTGAGCCTGGGACCTCCCACATGAGCAGGTTGAGAGGGGAAGGAGCAACCAGTAAATTATGTAAGAAGAAAACCAGGAGAGAGTGAAGTTTCGGAAGCCAAGAGAACAGAGTGATCAGCACGTCAGGTGCTGCTGAGGGGCAGATGACAGGAGGACAGAGAGTTGTGGCCACTGGTGACCTTGAGTGATGGGGGCAGAACGAAGCCTGATTGGGTGGGCCTGAGGAAACAGGGGAGAGGAACGGGAACAATCCTTTTGAGGAGTTTTTGCAGCAGAGGGGAGTAGAGAAATGGGATGGTGGCTAGGTAGGGTACATGGGGTTAAGAGAGGCTGTTTTAGGATGGGAAAAGTAACAGGACGTTTGCAGGTGGCAAACTGTAGAGAGGGAAGTTAATGCAGAAGAGAGAATGGGAAGGGTGCTGGAGCAGCAGCCTGGGGTGGTGATGGGACTGAGAGCTCCAGAGCTGGGAGCACAAATAGTGTATCTGCAGGCAGAATGTGTGGCACAGAGCTGGCAGAAAGGAGGGTATGGAGGCTTTCTTCTAAGGGCTTCAGTTTTCTCAGTGAACCAGGAAGCAAGGTCATCAGCTCACGTGAAGATGGGAGGGAATGTTGGAGACTTCCTGGGAAGGAGAGAGAGTTCTCTCAGGAGTAGGCTAGGCGCTGCCAGGCAGCCTTTTGTGCCCTCTTGTGGTGGGAGGCTTTCCATGTGGTTGGGCACTTCTCCACATCAGGCATGATGGGTAGCTGTGACCAGGGAGCCGGTCCTGTTAAGGGGGGCATGGCTGAGTGAGAAGGAGTTGGGGCTGGATTCACGAGGTTGGCTAAACTAATCAGCCAAAGCATTTAAACAAGGCTAGAAGGGAAAAGGACATGTGGGGAGAGGGTAGTGAGACAGTAGGGGGTCCTAAGTAGAGTTGAAGACATAATTGGCATCAGGGTCCCAGAAGGAATGAGCTGTAGAGAGAGAACGGAATAAAACTAATAATCTTCAGACTCTTTTCATCCCATTTCTTGTTTTGTTTTTTTCGTATTTCTTTTCATAAAAATGGGCGATACTTAGTAAACTGGACAATTGCAGTGAGGTGGGCTGCTTTCCAAAGACTGAAAATTGTCACATGATTCAATAAGCTGAGAAGTTTTCTTCACATGCCCCTGCTTGAAATCATTGACAGTCATGGGATGAGCTTTGGCTGTGGGAGGCTGCTGTCTGGCTTGCTTCACCTCTGCCCTGAATGTCACCGTTGGTCTTTCAGGACTGGGGCTACTTTGAGGAGCTGATCTGCCTGCTGGAGGCAGCCCTGGGCCTGGAGCAGGCCCACATGGGCATGTTCACAGAACTAGCTATCCTCTATTGCAAGTTTAAGCCACAGAAGATGCCGGATCACCTGGAGCTCTTCTGATCCCGTGTCAACATCCCCAAGGTAGCTGAGCCCTCCTCCGGGTTCTGGCTGTGGTGTCCACGCATGGGGCAAGCTCAAGCCCTTGGCCTGTGACCAACCCCCAAGTGCTGAGAGCCACAGAGCAGGCGCATCTCTGGGCTGAGCTGGTGTTCCTCTGTGACAAGTATGAGGAATATGACAATGCTGTCCTCACCATGATGAGCCACCCCACCGAGGCCTGGAAAGAAGGGCAGTTCAAGGACATCATTGCCAAGGTAAGAGAGGGACGCAGAGCGCTAGCCAGTGCCTGCTTCTGCTGGGCCCTGACCTCAGTGCGGGGACCCAGGATGGGTAGGGTGGGAACGTCATGAGCCTAGTATGTACCACACCCACGGTGAATCGGCACTTATCTCCTGTGACTCACGCCACCCTCAGGCAGGCAGTTAATTCCATCTACACAAAGGGAACTGCTCTTAGGATGGGTCAGTAATTGGTCTGGCACACACAGCTGGGCTGGTGGGTCTGTGAAGCCTAGCCTGTATGTGAAGCTATGCCTTTGTGGCCCGCTGCCCCCTGCCTCCCTGAGCCACACTCCACAGTGCACTGCAGCACCCAGGCCCCTCACAGCCGGCCCTTGGCAGGTGCTCTTCCTTCTGCCTCAGACCCCCACGCTGTCTCATCACTGGGCTGCCCCTCTTCATTAGTCACCTCTCAGCTCGGGCGTCCCACCTCAGACCCTGTCTGCCCGCCCACTTCCTGTTTTGCTTTTTCTCATATTTCTTTTCACCATTTGACATTTTTCTCTTCATGTCTCTCCCATGAAAACACCAGCCCTAGAAGAGTGCAGGCACCTCGTGGCTGTACAGTAAACATGTGCAGGGTGGACGGGTAAGTGCAGAGCAGGTGTGCAGGCCTCTGAAACCCTCCCCTCCCAAGGAAGTGCTGCCCTCCCACAGTCAAGTTGGACTAAACCAGGACCCTGAGTTGCTCTACCAGCAGCCAGGAAAATGTTAGATGGTGCCAGATTTGGTGAAAGCACCAAGCAGGACTTTATAATTTGGCTTGTGTGATCTCTGAGTGGGGTCAGCCTTGGGTCCTCCCTCTCTGTTCAGTTCCATGTGCAGGGTAGTGGGTAAACGAGATGACATTCCTGACTACTAGTCCCTGGTCCTTTGTGATTGTGTGTCCTCATTTCATCCCAGTGCCCACAAATCTCTCCCTTTGATGTCTGCTAGTGAAAATAACATCCTGATTATATTGCCGTCCTGTTGCTCTCAGTGGGTGCAGTGGGCCCTGATCTCAACAGGGGCCATGAACGGCACAGTAGCCCCTTTTATGTGACTTTTGCTCCACAAGCAGCTACTGGGGGGCAGATATGCTGGCAGGTTGGGTTGCTGGCCAGGACCTGCACCCTGCACACGGAACTGAACAGAGAGGGAGACCCAAGGTTGACCTTCACTCAGAGACCAAACAAGCCAAATCATAAAGTCTTGCTTGATGCTTGCACCAAAACCTGGCACCAGCTTTCATTTTTTTGGCTACCTCAACTGGACCTTGAACGGACAGCTGGCCCAGGTCAAGCTCGAGGCCACAAGCAGGAACCCCTTGGAGGGCATGCGTGCTCCTCAGCGTGGTGTGTGAGGTCAGTGCACGGCTGCCAGAAGGCCTCACCCTGGCCAGCTCCATGGTCGCTGGTGGAGGGTGGCGGTCACAGGTTGACATGGACTCATGCATGTTGGGTCCAGAGATGTGGGACCTGTACTCCAGCAAGTCTAGATGCACCGTTTTCACATGCTAACCTTTCTGACAATGGGCCATGTTTTAAAATTCACAGTGTGTCATGGTTTACTTGGTAGCACTGCTTATTTCTTAGCGGTACATAAAATGACAGGACATCATCCAGTCATCAGTGCGTTGTTCGATGACGGGTGGGCAGTGAGGATCTGGTCTTACGGGCATCTGACTGCTGCCAGCAGCCTGGCCTCCCACAGAGGGGTGGAAGGAGCCGCGATGCCAGCTGGAGTGTCCATGGTCAGTCCCATTCTTGGTGTGATGTTCGCTATGCTTCTGGTACCCTCTGTTATGTAGAAGAAAACTCCTATCAGCAGGAGCCACTCCCTCCTTCATGAAGACAGGGTAGGTGGTAGAGATGTCATTCCCAGCAATGGCAGGAGGACGCTAGCTGATGTGGCAGTCCAGCGGCCAGCTGGCAGTCAGAGGAGTGACATTCGGTTTGCATTCTGGGCACACAAGCAGAGGGACTTTGGTGTCAGCCTGCCCCCAGGCAGGTGGTGGAGGGTTGAGCAGGAGTCTTGCTGACACAGAGCAGGGTTTGCATACTGGCTCAGCCATCACTGCCTGTATGACTTTGGGCAAGGGGTTTCATTGTTTGGACTTCAACTTTCCCATCTGTAAAGTGGACATAATGTTTCTTGCCTTTCAGGTGATCTATGGCAGGTGCTTGGCACACAGTAGTTACTTCTAACAGGTCATGGGATGCCGTAGCAAAGAGCCCAGGAGGCCTGAGTTCAAAGCAGGTTGCCCCTGAGTGTGTGCAAATCTCTGAGCCTCAGTTTTCTCCTCTACAAAACAGGAGTACTACCCTGTCCCTCAGGGCTTTGGGGCTCAGTGGAGATAATCGGCACGATGTGCTTGGACAGGCACCATGGCAGTGTCTTCATTAACCATGGGGTGAGGTCCTGGCGCATCATCAGGCAGCCTGCCCGCACTGTTCCCGCCACAGCTCAGAGGAGGTGCTGCCCAGGGACAGTGCTCCCCAGACAGGAGCACAGACAGCTCCCCAAGGGCCCCTGAGACTCGCTGCATCCTGGGGGTGACAGATCAGCCCAGGTCCCCACAGCTTACCCCAGCAAAGACACGTGCCTGGTGTGGTGCCTGCTCATCGTGGGCCCTTGGGACCAAACAAGCTGAGCTGTGAGCTCTCGTCCATCTTCACAGTCCCCACAGCAGAAGGAAGAGAGAGTTGGCAAGTTAAGCCTTCTGCCTGGGGGACACACAGCACTTCTCATCATGCTTCATTGAGAGCCCTGCTGACAGCACACCATGTGCCAGAGGAGGACAGCCAGGGCCATTTGCTGCACAGCTTGGTGGCTGCCACGACCACTCTGCCAACTCTGTATTGTCCCACGAGGGAGGCTTTGTGTCCAGAGAGAGAGGGGACCTTTCCACAGTTGCACATGCATTCACAGCTGCACGGGGTGGGGGCACCTTTCCACGGTTGCACACACATTCACGGCTGCATCTGTGGAGCCTTTCCACAGTCACACATGCATTAATGACTGCATGGGGGGCAGGGGCGCCTTTCCACGGTCGCACATGCATTCACAGGGAGCCATGACAAGATGGGCACTGCCCTTTTGCATGTCCTCACCTCACTCCCACAGTAACCTGAGAAGTCTGTTGCTGGGGCACCTCTGCAAGGAAGGCGGGGCAGAGGGCAGGTGAATTGACACATGTGGCCCCACTCACAGGTGGCACTGGTGAACTTGAGCACTGGCCTCCATGCTCTTAATCACCGTGCTGTATCCCAACAGCGTTACTGGCAGGTGGTTGCTGCATCAGTTCTGCTTGTTAAGTGTCTAGCTTGAGGCCTCTCTGATCCTGAGCCCCCACTATCGCTGAACAAAGGGCCAGCCTTGAAGAATGACAGCTTCAGAGTTCGGGTACGCACATCCACCACAGCCATCAGGCCCCAGGCCAGCCCAGGACAGGGGATGCTCTGTGATGCGGCCACACCACTGCCCTGCTCTGCGTCGATGAGGGCTGGTGCTAGGGCCCTCATGCCTGTGGAGGTTAGAGTCTGTGGCGATCATGAGTACTCGAGTTTAAGAGAGAAGGAATGATGTAGGTCATGCCTAGGTCTGGGAGTAGAGGAGCAGGAATGAAAGAGTTAAATGAGCAGGAGACAGTGGGGGCTGTGGCTGGTACTGGACACGTCACCGGGACACACAGTGCTGCCAGATCACCTCAACCCAGCATTGCTGGAGGGTTCCCTGTCTGCGCCCGCCCACTCCCTCCAGCGTGGCTCTTGCCTCATGCCCTGTGCACACACCTGGCACCACCATACATGCCCACAGATACGGTGATTGTTGCTGACTTGGATTATGCCCTTCTGGAAGGGCAGAAACTGCCTTCTTTCCACCAAACCCCAGAGCTTTGTGCTGGCCTTGGACTTCTGTGCCCTCCCAGGCAGCAAGTTACTGAATAATCTTAAAAGCAGAGTGTGACAGAAGAGCAGTTGGAAAAGTACCAAGAGACAGACTTGAGCAACTTGGCCAGACTTTGACACCTGGACGGCAGGCCTCCCCACAGGCACAGAGCCTGCCATCTGAGCCATACTGTGGGGCAGCCCATCAGCCTTCCGCACAGTCTGAGCACCCACACTGGGCTCCCAGCAGGCTAGGGGGGTCTCACCTGGATAAAAGCATGTATAGTGTTTGGCATCATGGGGTTCATTCAGGCTTGTTTCACCTCATTTATTTGCACAACAGCTGCCTGTTGAACGCTGACCCTGTGTCAGACATGGGTGGTGCTGGGTGGGGGGGTACACAAACCCTGCCTCTGAGAGCCCCATGGGGACGGTGAGGGAGAGGCACAGTGTGTCAGATGGCAAGTGCAGAGGAGGAAAGGAAAGCCGAGAGGAGGGTGTTGGCAGTGGAAGTGCTGCAGTCTTCTGAAGGGTGGCCATGACAGGCTCCACTGATAAAGTGACACTGGAGGTTGAGCTGTGCAGCCACCTGGAGGCGAGGGCAGGGCTGCCGGGGGGTCGGCAGGAATGCATCCTTGACTTTGACCCCCTCCCAGTTTGCCAGTGTAGAGCTCTACTACAAAGCCCTGCAGTTCTATTTGGAATACAAACCTCTGCTCATCAATGACCTTCTATTTGTGCTGTCCCCCGACCTGGATCACACCCGAACTGTCAGCTTCTTCTCAAAGGTGAGTCAGCCAACATCACTGTTTCCAGAGAAGCGGGGGGTGGGTCAGCTAGCTGCTGTTCCAAGGTCACCTGAATTGTACTTCTTTAATAAACATTTTTTGAGATTGATCCCTGGAAAATTTAAAGGTTTAATTTATCAAACAGCTTTAGGTTTCAGACACAGGTTTACCTTCCAGCCAGTGTCCACAGATGAGACAGGCAGCTACTGAGTCACCCAGAAAGAGCGTGAAGCATAGATAGGCTCTAGTGTCTGGAAGGTGTCCCTGCTGGCAGTAGGACCAGAAGACAGCTCCTGGAGCCAGGCCCCCACTCGGTGCCTCCGATGACCAGGGGACTTGCACACCTCCCCCTGCACCACCCCAGGCACCCCCAGCCACACCATCCCTGGGATGAGCTTGTCTGAGTGCCTTGACCACTCTTCCCTGACTCATCAGGTGGGCCAGCTGCCCCTGGTGAAGCCTTACCTGGAGTCAGTCCAGAGCCACAACAACAAGAGTGTGAATGAGGTACTCAATCATCTGCTGACGGAAGAAGAGGATTACCAGGTGGGTGTGGAAGAGGAAAGCCTGGCAGAGAATGGGGGCAGCTCCCACCCGGGGGCAAGGTGGGCTTCCTCCCTTGGCCCCAGGGACAGCAGCTGTGCTGGCACTCATGCCACACAGCAGGGGCCAGTGCAGACTATACCAGCCTTGGACTCTCAGCAGCTAGAGGCCAGTCTGTCCCGTCACTAGGCTGCCAGCAGGTATGGGCCCCATGGGGTCACGAACAGATAGATGGGCAGGGGCTTTTCGGAGTCTGTGGTGGCCACCACTGCTGTCCTGGGTACCTGCTCCACTGTGCAAGCACCCCAGTAACCGTCTCTACCGAGACATGTACTCACGGAAAGGCTGTATCTCCTAGGGTTTAAGGGCGTCTATCAATGCCTATGACAACTTTGACCACATCAGCCTGGCTTAGCGGCTGGAGAAGCACCAACTGATGGAGTTCCAGCACATTGCCGCTTCTCTGTACAAGGGCAATAACTGGTGGGCCCAGAGTATAGAGCTCTGTAAGAAGGACCAGCTCTACAAGGTTGGTGTCCCTGAGTGGCACAGCAGGGCCCAGCCCCCCTTCAGTGTGCTTCATGATGCTTTTGGGCAGAGGGGTAATCATTTGTCACCCCTTCCCTCTTCTTTCCCTGGGACTTGTCTCAGAGATTCTCATGGAGGTGAAAGAGGAATGAAGCTAAGGGAGCTTGAGGAACAGTTTTAGAACATGGTGCAAGAGTTGGGAGCCGTCTAGAGGATCATTATCATTAACATAACCAGTTGCCATTGAGTTGACTCCAACTCATGGCAACCCCGTATGTGTCAGAGTAGAACTGTGCTCCACAGGGTTTTTTGTTTTATTTTTAAATTTATCTTATTTATTTTGTTTTTATTGTTGTTGAGAATATACACAGCAGAACATTCACCAATTTCAACAATTTCTACGTGTACCATTCAGTGAATTGACTATATTCTTCAAGTTGTACAACCATTCTCACCTTCTTTTTCTGAATTGTTCCTCCCCCACTAACATAAACTCACTGGCCCCTGAATTTCCTATCTAATTTTTCAAGTTGCTGTTGTCAGTTTGATCCCATATAGATAGTTCTTAAAAGAGCATAGTGCTAAAGGCAGACATTCTTTACTAGTTAAGCTACTGTTGTTTGATTTAAAGACTTCCACAGATATTTTTGGTTTAAGGCTTAAGGTTTAAAGATTTTCTGACGGTAACAATTTCAGGGATTTGGTTCATCCAGTCTCACCCATAGGGTTTTCAATGGCTGATTTTTCAGAAGTAGATCACCAGGCCTTTCTTCTGAGGTACCTCTGGGTAGACTGGAACCTCTAATCTTTCAGCTGAGCACACAAACCATTTGAGACCCAGGGATTCCATCATTAATGTTGTTGTTGTTGTTGTGTGCTATGGAGTCAATGCTGACTCATAGTGATCCTATAGGACAGAATAGAACTGCCCCATAGGGTTTCTAAGGAGCAGCTGGTGGATTCGAACTGCTGACCTTTTGGTTAGCAGCCCAGTTCTTAACCACTATGCCACCAGGGCTCCATCATTAACATAGAACTCCTTAAAAAGTCTGTGGATTGCAGTATTTGTGCTTGTGAGTCAATTCTCTTCTCTTCAGTTATTTGTGAATTTAACTTTACCTAAACACAGGGTCACTATGAATCAGAACCCACTCGACGGCAACGGGTTTTTTTTTTGTTTGTTTGTTTGTTTTAAACACAGTGTGGCAGCGTCTACTTCTTGGCACTTATTTACTTCATATCAGGATTTTGGGAATAAAAAAACCAAATTAAAATCATGGTCAAAATATTTGTGTCTATCAGCGAGAGCTGGTTTAGCACCACGCTCGTATCCTGCTAATCTAGTTGGGCTGCCTTGAGAAATTGCTAGGATCCTGAAGGTGCCGCTATCACTCTGGTTGGCCTAAACTTCTTGCCCAGTGGAGTAAAGTTGAGTTGTACAAGAGGGCCATTTTTGTAATACATTATACCCTGAGCTGACTTCTGGTGGCTCTGTGTGCCCAGAGCCCAGGAGGTCAGCAGGTCGTCTGTGACCTAGGATATGCTTAGGCATTGTCCCCATGTGCTCCTGAGGCTCTTCCCAAGACATGTGAGCTGTGGCTCTTGGCTCAGACTTCATCGAGGCAGTGTCACTTGACACTAGCTCATGTTGAGCTTTACCCCAAGTTGCCACCTCCAGTTTTTGGACTGTTAATTGACATCTCCTAGCCCTTAGTGACAGGGCTCCCAGTCCTCCCTGGTGTGCTGACAGGGCCCCGGCAGAGAGGACTGGGAAGAAAAACTGCAGAGCTCCAGGACCTCACACCAAGGTGCTCGGGGGCTGGCTGCTGGGCGGTGGCAGCAGGGCTCAGACATGCCAGAGGAAAAGCCATCACCCCGCTGGCAATGACAGCACCCTGTGGTACCATGACATGCCTGTCCCAGAGGCGGCACACATCAGTGTCTTAAACCACACGACTCAGGCACGGATGCAGGGGAATCACGCTCGCTCACCTCTCAGGCAGTCTGTCCTCTCTGCGCCAGTCAGCCCACTTACAGCCAAGTGTGCCAAGAAAAACACTCACAAGAACAAAACCATAGGTATAAACTTGTTGAGCGTACTTTCCCCTAGAGCAGTGGTTCTCAACCGGGGGCAATTGTGCCCCCCAGGGGACATTTGGCATTTTTCTGGAGACATTTTTGGTTGTCATTGCTAGGGGTGTAGTGCTACATCTAGTAGACAGAGCCTAGGGTGCTGCAGTCCAGATAGCCCCCAACTACGAAGAATGATCTGGCCCCAAGTGTTAAGAGTGCCAAGGTTGAGAAACCTTGCCCTGGGGCCAGAATTGAAATCACCTAATGTTCTAAGGAAAACCCTGGTGGCATAGTGGTGAAGTGCTACAGCTACTAACCAAAAGGTTGGCAGTTCAAATCCACCAGGTGCTCCTTGGAAACTCTATGGGGCAGTTCTACACTGTCCTATAGGGTCACTATGAGTCGGAATCGACTCGACAGCAATGGGTTTGGTTTGGGTTGGGTTAATGTTCTAAGGAGCCCTGGTGGCGCAGTGATGAAACACTCAGCTGCTAACCAAAAGGTCAGCTGTTCTAACCCACCAGCCACTCCTTGGGAGAAAGATGTGGCAGTCGGCCTCTGTAAAGATTTACAGCCTTGGAAACCCTATGGGGCAGTTCTACTCTATCCTATAGGGTCAGTATGAGTCGGAATCAACTTGATGACAATGGGTAACGTCCTCCTGAGAGAATGTGGCCAAATCACAATGTGCCAGTCAGCAGAGTAGTGAGTAGCATTGATGACATCTGGGACCGTCATGGAGCCACACAGAAAATGTTTATTCTAGAGTAAAGAAGTGGAGTATAAAGTCAGGCACAGCAGGTACAGCTCTCAGGATTTGCATTCACTCAGCTTGAACTCCTTGAGGTGTGCATACTCTACTTGGTGAGATGAGTGAACTGAGGTGATTATACCCGTGGCAGGATGCTGGGATGCCGAGGGAACACTGGCCAGGTAGTACCTGTGGGTTGAGCATTGGAAGGTGTCGGGATGAAGGCAGTTGAGGGCCAGGTGGTGTAGAAAGGGCTGGAAGCCCACGCATAGATGTGGACAGGTGAGAGGAGCCAGCCCTCAGGTGTGTGGAGAGCAGACGGGCATAAGGAGGGAGGTCCACAGCAAGGAGCCTGGTAGTCATCCTGGAGGTGTGGGTGTGCTGGTGTGGTGGCCTCATTAGGTACCGCAGTAGTTGGGGAGAAAAAGTGGATACCGAGACAGGACAAAAACAGAAGACCTGAGGGTACAGCAGGCCAGGTGTGGTGATGAGAAGTAGACAGGTGGGAAGAATCTCAGATGCAAGCCAGTTTTCAGGCTGCGGGGGAGGGACATGGGGTGTGTACCTGGGGAAGCTCATACCTGAGAGTCCTCTAGGAGACAGCCAGCAGGCACTGGGATTTGTGGGTCTACCCAGAGCAGAAGGGCTCAGGAAACACCTGCTTTCTGGTGACGGCAGTTGGAGCTGAGAGAGTTAGTGAAACAGTCTGGGAGGCCCATGGAGGGAAGGAGGACAGGAAGCCCGCCTGGCCACGCTCCCTGTAGGTCAGAGATGACAGTGACCATGAGGATGTCAGAGCTCTAGGGACATGGTGATCTGAAGGCATCTTGGAGCTGTTGCTGAGTCTCCGCTGACTTTGGCCAAAAAAAAAAAAAAAAAAAAAGTGGCCTGGTGCCTCAGTAGGAACAGCATGCGGATGAGGCTACACTCTGGATTGAGCAGCAAGCAGGTGGGTGAGAGGATTCTTTCAGGAAGATGGACAACAAGGGAAAACGGAGCTGGCTTCGGGGTGTTGGGTGAGGGTGTGGGCTTGGCGACCGAGAGTATCCAGGGGTCTCAGGAATAGAATATGAGCTTGAGGTGGCAGTCGGCATATGGTGCCAGCTCTCTACAGGCCCAAGTAGCAGTTACCCTGGTGACAGCCAACATGGCCACTGCCGCTTTAGCACCTTCCACGGTCTCAAGAGCAGCTGTGCGGTTAGTGGGTGACCACATTGCGTTTGAAACCAGCTTTGCCTCTTAGCTGAGCAATCTTGAGCAAGAGACTCACTCTGCGTGCCTCAGTCTCCTCATCTCTAAAAGAGCATAATGGCAATACCTGTCCAGAGGCTGTCGTGGAGACAAAAGGAGCTAATCCACACGTTCACTACTTAATGTCATTTAATTCTCACCATTGTGGCTAGAAAATAGGGAATGGGTATTGAAATTACTGATATACTAATAATTATTAACTACATGGGTATAACTTTTTAAATCATGTTACAAAGAAATTTGCAAGTATGAAATGGTGATTAGGGGCTTGTGAGGGACTTCTTTATGGCAGAAGAGAAGGTACACGGCTATTTCTTGAACACTAGCTGTGTCCCTGGTTGAGCCAGTCTCTGAAGGAGGCCTGAGTGTAGGGACTTCGGGCCTCCCAGCAGGCACTGCTAGCACCATTCCTGACATCCCTCACTGCCCACCCCCAGAGCAGCCCTGGGGGTCACTGGCCTGGAGGCCAGTGCACCTCTGGGCAGGTTAGCAGGCTCTGCAGGGACTGGCTGCTAGGACCACTCAGTGTCCCCCTGTGCCAGCTGCAGTTCTCCTTTCCCCAGCCCTTGTGGGCACAGTACCTCTGTCTCACCAGAGGGCAGCTGAGTTGCAAAACGGGGCTCTGCTGTGTGTCCAGACTCGCTCTGCTGGCAAGTGGTAGGGCCTCCACCTGAAGCCTGGTGCACCCCTGCCCCACCTGCCCAGCTGCCTGTAGGCTCCTGGTCCTGGAAGCTCACTTCAGGTGGCACAGGGTCTTGCCCTGTGCAGACTGGGCCCCAGCTTCGTGTGTGCTCGGTGGCAGGATGCCATGCAGCATGCTGTAGAGTCCCAGAATGCCGAGCAGGCCGAGAACCTACTGCAGTGGTTCCTGGAAGAGGGCCAGCGGGAGTGCTTCACAGCCACTCTATTTACCTGCTACCATCTGCTTAGCTCGGATGTGGTGCTGGAGCTGGCCTGGAGACACAACCTCAGGGACTGCGCCGTGCCCTACTTCATCCAGCTGATGAGGGAGAGTATCTTAGCAAAGTGAGTGCCTGGCCCCCGGGTAGCCACTGCTGTTCCCTTCTCACCTCACAGGGTTTCCTCCCCTGGTGCTGACTCTGGCCGCAGACCTGCCCGGAGGCCCTGGTGGTGGCCCGTTGAAGGCCAGCCTAGGGTGGCCAGCCATCAGTGGCTGCCTTTGGGAATGGGTTCTTCCCTTTGGGTGCGAGTGGTTTTCTGCCCAGTTCCCCTGCTCTAGAAAACCACCATGGCAGGTGTCAGGGAGAACTGAGCACTGACCAGTTCAGTGACCTTCCCGCTGATCCTGCCTCAGACATTATGCCAAAGCACACACTGCCACAGAGCAAGGAAGGTGCTGGGGTGACAGCCAGCAAGGCGACAGCTGGCACTGTTGGCATCCACACAGAGCCCCCAGTGCACAGCAAGCCCCTCTTTCGGAGCCTGGGGGCCTCTGTGGACCCCAGCTTCCTCCTGCTGCTGTGCCTCCAGGGACGTCCGGAGGGGTGGCTGCTGGCACGCCTGTTGGGGGTAGCCCCCTTTTCCAGGTACTCAATAGGAATGTTAACACATGTGTCTTAGTCATCTAGTGCTGCTATAACAGAAATACCACAAGTGGATGGCTTTAACAAAGAGAAATTTATTTTCTCACAGTCCAGTAGGCTACAAGTCCAAAGTCAAGGCATCAGCTCCGAGGGAATGCCTTTTTCATCAGCGCTGGAGGAAGGTCCTTGTCATTAGTCTTCCCTTGTTCTGGGAGCATCTCAGCACAGGAACCTCAGGTCCAAAGGACACACTCTGCTCCCGGCACTGGTTTCTTGGTGGTATGAGGTTCCCATGTCTCTCTGCTCGCCTCTCTCCCTCAAAAGAGACTGGCCCAAGACACCACCCAATCCTGTAGACCCCACCAACACAACTGCCGCCAGCGCATCCCACCACACCACAGTGATAGAGTCCACAACACACAGGGAAACCACAGCAGATGGCAAAATGGCAGACAGTCACACAACACTGGGAACCATGACCCAGCCATTTGGGGGACACAATTCAATCCATGACAACATGTATCGAGTCTTTTAAATACCTGAGGAGGTAAGTGAAGTCATCCTCCCTGTACAGCTGCAGACACTGGGGTTCGGGCCTAGAACTAGCAGGGGAGAGGGGCTCAAACCCGTCTCCCCCAACCAGGTCATGCTCCTCTCGGCACATCAGCTTCGGCCACTCAGGTGTCACTTGGCATCCTAAGTGTCCCACTCCAGCTTTCTCTGCAGGTTGATGATCTGTTTAATGAGGCGACAGTGTCTGATTTTAAAAATCTCCCTGTGTATCGAAGCCCTGGGAGGCCCTGTCTAGGCCTACTTTTAGCTGCTGTCCGTAGACCTGCATCACCTAGTGTTTCTGACACTGCAGAAAGCCGCCTCTTAGCCGTCCCTGCCTGCAGGTCCAGTCACACACCTGGGCATCTCAAGTCTGGATGGAGGCCCCAGCAGCACCATGAAGCCTCTGCTAGTGAAGCTGCTTTTTGTGGTTGAGGGATGGGGGCCTCCCAGAGCAATGTGGGAACTGGAGACAGTCAAGCAGTGGTGGGCTCTGGCTCGACCAGCCAGTGCCCAGAAGGGCTTGCGCCACCTGCTGGCTGCAGAGCCTCCAGGGAGCTGGCCCCGAGCACCTGACAAGGGTCACTCCAAAGCCACTGGTTCAACTGCAGGAGAGGACGGACCTTCACAACATGCCCCATTGTAGTGTCCTGGCCAGTGTGGGGATGGTGGCAGGAAGGGCAGCCTCGTCCACATGGCCTGAGCTGTGCAGGCCACCAGGGGACAGTGACTGGCTGATTTACTACAGTCCCAGGTCCTGAACTGCCACTAACGGCAGCTCCCTGGAGGAACTGTCTGCTGGTAGTGTGCAGGCAGTCCTCGGGAACTGCTCTTGCCTGCGGGGTACTACTTCCCACCACCCCCTCCTCCCCACCCTGCAGTGTCTGCACCCAAAAGCACCCTGTCCTTCCTGAGACCTCACGTAAAGGAAGATGAATAGGGCTTGAATCTCTGGTCGTCAAGGACCATGGGTTAACAGAGAGCTCAGACCTCCAAGGCCTCACTGCTGCAGAGGGTTGGACCCCAAGGGGACCCCAGGAACTGGAGGGGGATGCTCCCTCTGTGGTGGGTGATGGAGTCCAGCAGCCACCCCGTCATCTCGGTCCAAGCTGTGACCACACACCTAATCCAAGGTCAGACAGTCTGCTTGGACTACAGCTGCAGTGGTGGTCCAAGGACCCTGCTCCTTGGTCTGGGGTCCCAGACACCTCCACGCATCTGTCCTGGCTATGTCCCATCCTGTCTCTGCAGGGCCCAGGCACAATGCCTGTCATGATGGGGGGCCCCCACCAAGTGTGAGGTATTCTTGGCTGGGGCTGGAGCCCAGCGGACAGCACCGTGGCACTGTGAGAATGGAGTCCGAGGCAGGAAGGCCACAGCCCCTTGTAGACTGCAGAGCCGGCCTGTGGGCCTCCTGACTTGTCTGGGAGCTACTGGGCTGTCCTGCAGAGAACTACTCTCTGCCAGGGCCCTCCAAGGGGAGGGAGGGTGGAAACAGCATAGACCTTGGCCCGGCAGCTACCGCAAGCCTGGGCAGAAAGGACAGCTGTGGGTCAGATGTAGCTGTCCAGTCTCAGCCTACTCCCTGGGAGGGGAGGGGATGTGAAAGGATTCAGCCAGGCTTCAGACCTGCCCACCAGCAAGCGGAAGCCCGCAAGGGTCTGCGTAGCAACAGAGCTCTCTGCTGGTCGCCCCCAGGCCTGAGCTCATGCGGGAGCACAGGACTAGACTCACAGTTGCCATGGCCCCACTGGCTCGGTGCCCCAGATCTGGTGGCTCCTCTGCACCATGACACTTTCAGCTTCTCAGCCCGTGCATCTGTGCCAGTACCTGAGTGTGCACAGGGGCCTGATTCCTGAGGCCAGGTCCCCTGCCCCCAGGGGGAGCGTTCTCTCCACCAAGTGTAGTATTCCAGGTATCAGGTCCCCAGTGTTCTGAGGACAAGTGGTTCCTGTGCTGGTGAGGAAGGGCAGGCAGCCTGGGCTCTGGGACTGGCTGGCTAGTCAGGAGGAGAAAGCGCTGTGTTTTCTTGGCAGTGTCCTGCATGCTGCCCAGCTCACGGGTCAGTAAGCAGTGGTGACCCTGTGAGTCAGTCACCCTCACAGCCTGTTGTCATTAGCCACTTCTGCAGTGACCAGCGGCCACATGCCCACTTGAAAACCTGGGCTGGCCTCATGGCTGGGGGACTTCACCAAGGCCCCATCCAACTCCATCTCAGCTTCACTGCTGTCTCGCTGCATTCAAAATGTGCGTCTGTTTTGTTTGATGTTTTCACAAACTTTTTTTTTGTAACTAAAGCCATGTAAAAAGTATGGAGAGAAAACAGTGCCTTATCTCAACAGTTTTGCTAATTTTTAGGCTGAAAGATGACAGATGCTTAGAGTTTACCTTATTATGTTTAATTAAAATCAGTATTTCTTTTACAAAAAAATGTGCATCATGGGAGTGTGTCTTGGGGGTCAGGCGGTCGCTTCAGGTGCAGCCGGAAGCCAGCCTGGTCCAGCAGGCCTGGTGCCACCTCCACTGGCCACCCAGCATGCACACCCTCAACTTCCAGCTCTCCTGGAGGTCCCTTGCGTCCTTGCCACTCACCCGGAGCCCTGGCGGAGGGACAGCACAGCATGACAGCACAGTGCTGTCTGGGTGGTGCACAGGGGCTCCCACCTCTTTTGCAGATGGACAAACTGGAGGTCTCAGAGAGTCTCCATTGGCAGGAGCAGCATGCGGTGTAGTCCACCACTCTCCTGTTGGGTAGGTGGCACCTGCTGAAGAGATGAGGGGGGTGGACAGGGTAGGAGCAGGAAGGCCCTCTCTGGCTGGCAGGTATAGAGAAAGTAAGTGTAGCCGGGGATGTGTGAGAGGCACAGCCTGCGTCCTCTCTGCTCTGGGGCACCTGCCTTCTGAGGACGTGCCTGCCTGCTCTTGTGCCTAGCACCTGCCACGTGGTGAGCTGCTGCTGTGTCCCTGTCTGCTGGCTCCCAGGCAGCAAGGCTGTGGCTGGCCTGTTCTGGGAGGAGGGCTTTGCACAGATGAGCACCCCCTGGGAGGGCCTGGCTCTTGAACAGATGGATTTGCTGGGGTCCATTGTATAGAACTGCTGTTTGGCTCTTAAGAGTGCGCTGAGAGGGCCAATGCAACATGCATGAGGGGTGTCATGAGCACGCAGCATGTGAGCCTGGCCTCGAGCCTCCTGCCACGTGTCCTCCCTGTGCTCCATGTGACCACCCACCATTAATGTCATCTGGTTTTTTTAGATTTTGATGGGCATGAGTGAGACCTAGCTGACTGAGCTCAGTAAGTGTCCCATTGCCAGCCCCAGAACAGCTGCACCCCCTTCTTGCCTCTGGGGACCTGGTATCTGGAGTTGGGGCTGGTCTGGACCCTGGCCCTTGGGCCCCCGACTACTCTGGGTCAGCCAAGAGAGGAGCCTATGGGCAGCAAGAGCCCACAGCTTTGCTCACCTCCTGCTCTCCCTCTCAGGCCAGCCCCTGATGCTGACCGCCAGCCCAGCTCCTGCTGACCTCCCCTGTGGACATGACACCAAGCCAGCCTTCACCCAGCCTCCCCTGTTCAGCTTCAGTGCACAGAGGGCTTTCAGTTGCCACACTCCCTCTAACAAGTTATTAACCTCTGCAAAAGTGTGTCCAACCCAGAAAAGCAGAGGACCCTTCCATGGGAGGCGGGGACACCTGAACTGTTACCATTTTTGCTGAGGCCGGAGGACTGCAGCCTCTGAACCAGGACCAGAGCCTGGGGACGCCAGCTCCCGGAAGGTCAAGCCCTCTGGCAGAAACCAGAGTTCCCAGGGAGAGCCTTGTCTGCAAGGATTCCCTACATTTGTGGAGGGGCACCGTCTTCAACCCCAAACTGGCTGGAGCTTCCCCCACTCCAGGCCATTTTGCAGACCCTACAGGATCACCTACTGTATGGCGATACCGGGCTGTATAACACTGCCGTGAAACTCTTGTGGATCATGAATATTAAAAGCGGTTTACCAGGGCAAAGTTGCTGTGTGCTTGGTGCTCGCAGAGGGGTCTTGAGAGCGGGAGGAGACGTAAGTAGACGGCCTGTTAAAAGATTTGCTGGGATCTAGAGGGGGAGTGCGCTGCTTCTGCCCAGGTCTCTTCCAGACCGTGCTCACTGCACGGAGCTCTGAACTCTCACTGCACGGAGCTCTGAACTCCCCCTGCGATGTCTTGAAGTCTCCCCAAGGCCAGACCTTCACTAGCAGAGATGAGTTAACCCCACGTGTCCTGGGGGAGGGTCTGCTCCTCTCTCCCGATCGGACCAGAGGCGGCGTCGCCGCTCTTAAGGGCTCCAGTCGCGCAAAGCGCTATTCCGAAGCTGCACCTTGACCCACAGCGTCCGCCCCACCCCGCGCTCTCGGTTTTCCTGGGACCCGGGCGCGACCATTGGCTGCGCTGCCGTCCCGCCCGAGCGCCGGCCTCGGCGCGCCCCGCCCCGGCCTCAGTTTCCCGGCCGGCACAGGGCGGGCCGGGGGTGGGGC